AAAAAAAAAAAAAAAAACAACAACACACGTGTACTTCAGGCTAGGCAGGGTGCCACGGGACAAGCTAGAGTTGCCAGCTCTCTCTTTTCAGCTTCTTCACTATCGTGGTACCATGAGCTGGTGGTCTGATGGTTGTTGTTGGTGCTACCGCGATGATCTCTAGTATATGCTGTTGTTGATATTGCTATCGTCTGCGATGACCCTAGACATCCCTTTGCTACTATGCAGCGCCCCCTTCAGATCAACGAATACATGAGAAATGCTTACTGCATCTGACTAGGTGCCTGACAAAGGGGAGGGGCCATTACCATGGGCAGTCTGTAGTTTGCGCGTGCCATAGGAGGGTTACTCGGCGCAAAAAGTATTGACAGGGCTGTTGTAGGCGAGTTGACAGCATATGGCAGAAGTCGCTCCAAAAACGCGCGAACCCTAAGCAGCGAGTTCGTAGTTAGACGGCCTGTGGGTTGCTTTCCTGTCGAGTTTAGTGTTCTGTCTGGGGTTCTGAAGTGGTCCATCCATGTATGTGATAGGCCCTTTGAGGAGTCCGCTAAAGTAACACTTGCGGCAGATGGCTTGCGTGCTTTAACGAAGTCATGATCGCGCGTTTGTAGATCTTGTTTGGGGACGGCTCCAGGCTTTGGCAATCCTTTTTCTTGCTCATTAGGGGCCCATGTTGCATTCTGCAGTGCGCACACGTCACCCGTGTCGAACTTGCCTTTGTTGCAGAACAAGGCTCTCCTAGTTGAAAGCCTCCAAAAGCTGGACCTGAAGGATTACGGCTTTGCCGACTGGCTCCAGTTCGATGCATCAGTGGTGCGAGGCAGGGGCAAGGTAAGACAGTTTGCAGTTCTTCCATTTGTAATCCTGTAGCTTAGCTTTTCTATGCCAAGTCCCTATAAATTCCCTTCAGGTCTGGCCTATTACACTGGTGTCGTCTTCGAGGGCTTCGATAGGGCTGGCGTGCTGCGCGCAGTGTGCGGTGGTGGCCGGTATGATAAGCTGCCGGGGCACCCAGGTTTCGCAGCTTGGTGGTTGAGGGTTTCGGGTATGCAGTGTGGCTTGGATGAGATTCTGATGTAGGAGTTTAGATGTCACAAGATGTCAAGGGCTTTGGGCAAGGTCTCACCTGACAATTTTAGACTTTGCTGTAATAAGAACCTCAGACCTTCTCTCCACCTGAATGTCACGAAGCGCGTGGTTCAACGACTTGCAAATCAATAGAGATGCCTGCGACTTCCCATCAGACGCTATGTGTGTTTCGGGAGGCATAGAGGTTTGGGTAGTCTTCTCAGCTGGGCTATGCACGTCTACCGTCAAGAGCCTGGGGTTCTTGCAGCAAGGTTTGGATGAGTGCACAGACATCAGTGCACCCTTTTTACGCTTGAGGGTTGTTGCAAAGGTCCTTCTCATATGAGCCATAGTCTAAACTCTTTGAAGGGGGTTATTAACGGGGATACTAAGGGATTATCTCATATAGTCATGGATGGGAGGGAATCTAGCTGCGTGGCTTGTTGGGCACAGGTACTATCAGCAAGTGCTAGGCAGTTGTGTTGCAGCAACTTGCATGATCGCCCGAGGCTTGAACTCTACGGCTCCAAGAAGGACGCGTCTAGTGGGGGGGGTTAAAAAGTCTTGATAAGGTTTCTAGAATCAGGGTTGTAGAGTGCGCTGAGCTCGAGACCTGGCTTCCTAGAGCCCGACGAACCAAAAACAAAGTGGGGAAGGCAATGCTGCCAGGGTACCTTGGCGCTCCCCCCCTCCTGTCCCCCGACCGCTGACGCCAGTTTTTTCCTTTTGTCTTCGTTTTCGGCCAAACTTTCGTTCACGTCCGTCCACTTTTTTCTGTTCCATCTGGGCAAAAGTTTGCCCTACGCATTGCGTCCACTTTCATAATTATGACCGAAACCTACCAGTACTTGAATCTCCTTCCCCCAATACTGGCAGCCCCCACACCCCAAAAATTGGTGGATTCAAAAGATTATCAGGGAAAGGGGGTATTAATTCGGGTTAATGGTCAGGGCAAGCAGGGCTAAATCCTTCGACCACATGTGACACATGTGCACATGTGAAAGACATGTGAAGGACCCGCGGGCCCCACTGCAGTATCTTGATGGGGAGCGTGTAGCTTTGAAGCAGTCATCAAATTCCCTCTGCATTTGGTTGTTCTTATCTTTACTGTTGGAACCTGATTAGTGTGGGGGCCCCCCCGCGCCACCGCAAACAAAAGGGGAGCCTCTATAATAAAAAGGCCTCAAAACAAATTGGGGGTCTAGGACATCCTTTGGCTCCTATTAAAATCAATATTGAAAGCGCAATCCTTCGGCTTTTATTGAGTTCACAAACAAGACTTGCTCAGTTTATATGAAGCCCTCTGAAAGCCATTACAATCTGATTAAAATCATAGAAGATCTCTTTAAGATCAATTCAACTGCATGAGAAATCGAATTAAACAGACAAAAAGCAAATTAGAATGGCCTCACCATTGACCGCGCCAACAAACTTTTACTTTATTGAGCCTCCCAAACTTCATCAGCCAATTATGAACCCCCACCCCCCAGGTGGGGTTTTTAATGACATGTTGTGTTTTTGTTTGTTTCGCTTGTTCAGATTTGTGGTCAAGCCTCATTGTTCCCTTGATGAATAGATCCTAGTGCCTTCCTCGCTGCATATTTCCTTGATGTCTACTACTGTAGTGGAAAAGCAATACATTGCAGGTTCGGGACTATGAATGTGAATCCGTGTACATTCTTTCATTACCCTTCGCATAACCGATTGCAATATTCACTACAAGGCACCAATCTAAAAGACGCAAACCATCTTAACATCAGATCGCAGCCCTGGATTTGTACAATCCTATCCGCTTCAGATAGGTCGGCAATTCAGAGTAGTTCGGCACATCAGGTGCAACATTGCACCAAGCATCCGAAATTTTGTGCATGCCATTGAAACAGCAAACTGGCCAAGAAGAGAGACAGCCAGTCGTTGCCAGCAGCACTTTTGTTTGCTGCAGCACATTTTTGGTCGGCAAGTCGTTTTTCACGTCAGATGCATTGCTTCCTGTGCTATGTTCAGACTGTCATTTCCACAGGTATGATTTGCAAGGAGAGATTTTTTCGGAGATTTCCCAAACATGTATTCAACTGGCACGAAAAGCATTTCAGAGCAGGTCCAGCTCTGCCGTATGCCAGGGCTCCTCATTTTTTCAGATGTTGCAGCCGAATACTTGCATGTGCAGCAGTACCAACGCTTAAGTGCCAATGCGAAGCTTGTCGCAAGATGCTATTTAGCTGCAGTCTAGTCTTCAGCCTGGCATGTTGGTGTGGAGTTTTTACCCGTTGTCTCAGGGGTAGTGAGTACTTGTTTCTCTCCCCAGCGAGCTGCGACTGCCACGTCAGTCGAAAGTGCTTTGCACATATATTCATGCTAAGTTTTTTGCATTTCTGAAAAGTGAAGGGTCTCCAGCAAGTCGGCGTTTTACAAATCATGACTAGTTGTGTGTGCGCGGTTTTTGAGGCAAGTTTCTTGCCTGCGCGACAAGAGAGACAGATTTTCATGCTTTTTTAGGAAGGATGGCGGTGCGCATGCAAACGCATGTTGCAATTTGGTTTTGGCTGCTCAATCCGCAAGGAAAGTGTCAGGAACACGCGGCTGCATTTTGCAGTCGTCAGCAGCAGAAGTCTGTGGCTAGTCGGTGCCAGTGGCATTGCTTCAGCATGCACGTTCGCAGATACATCGTCCATGAGTCCTTATGTTGCAAGTGTGTGTACGAAGTCGTTCATATGCGGGCAGATAATGAGACCCATTGTGGCATGAATTTTTCTGTTCTCCTTGTAGCACAGACCGCCGCTTCCATAGAAGCAGCCTTCATGGCTCCCCGACGCGGACCAGGTAGTCGGGTTCACGGACCAGCCAAGCGTGTCTCGAAAAAGGGGAAGGAGGAAGTCAAGGCTCAGAAGCAGGCGAAAACACAGCAAGCTCTCAAGCTCACGAAGGCAACCGGGGACTCCAAGCAGGTGGCGGTCTCCCGAGTCAAGTCAGCCTCTTCGACCGGATCTGAGAACTTAGCCGCGATCAACCAGGAAGCTCTTCTTGAACTCAATGAACATTTGCTTGCGAATCCACACAAGATCCTCGTCTTGTTGCGCATGGCCAAGAAAGAGGAGTACTTCAAGGAAGCATCAACGTTGCCTGGAGATTGGCTGCACTCAACCCTCATCTATGTGAAGGAAGCATGCTTATGCATAGTGCACGCTAACATTTCCTAGCTGTTATGGTCCCATACTTCCCCCTAAATTGCTCAGTGCAGTTACGTATATAAGCGAGACAGATTCTCGCGATGTCTCCACATTTTCCTGCGCCATGACCCCCAAATAGAGGCAAAAATACATTGCAAGGATTACATGCGCCCCTGCCCTCACAAAGTCCCTGCAGGCATTATGCCCGACAAGCGTGTCGATCCAAAGGTCAAAGCGAAGCAAGCAGCCAGAAGGGCCGCGCCAAAATGAACTCGCAGCTTTAGGCGTTTGATGTTGAGCCTTCAGCCTCCAAAGCCTTTGAGATTCCAATCCGACTCCTTGTTGGGAGTAATGTTGAGTGAAGCTATCTAATCCACTTCGCCCTTCATCATGATATCCTAGACTTTCCCGGTAAGAACTTTGTAGTCTTCTTATTCCCAGCCATCTTTAAACCTGTGCAACTGTAGCGGTGTAGCCCAAAGTACCTAAAGTCTTGATGCCAATTCCAAATTGCTTCAGAAGGTAAAGCAACACAAACCAGCCTTCAACTCGACTCAGGTAAGGACCCCGTAAACGTTAGCGTTTTCCAAGCAAGATTCATTACGGGTAGTGTGACTGTACTGGAGTATAGACAATGCCAATAGGAAGAAGTGGTACTCACAAGATATCTGCTTTGGCGTTAGAATTTGCAGAGACATCGATTTCCAAAAGGGTTCTAAACAGCTTTCAGTGGGGGGTGGGGTTCTTAATTCGCTGGCAAAAACTCTAAACCCTAAACCCTAAATATACATATATATATATGTGTGTATATATTATTGAGGATCAGGAGCTCTACTGGACCTACCCCCTTTGGAATTTGACTGCAAAGCCTGTTTGAACAATCGGTTCAGTAAGAAATCGATTGTTTTCGGTGGCGTGAGATCGCAGATTCAAGAGGTAACAGAGCCTGTCCTTTTCATGTAAAGGCCTGGCTTTAAAACCAAAACAATTTGGCCTCATCAAAACCTTCCCAATTTTTTCGGCAGAAGAAATACCTAATTATTGGGACCCCCAAATCGAATAGGGGGTCCAGAATAATTTTCAAAAAAGCGTTTCTTTATTGGGGACCCGCGCACTAATCGGGATTCAACATTAGATGGAACTTCGCATCCTTACGTTTTTTCCGGGTGAGACGAATGCCTAGACCTTAACCCCAGAACCCAATGCCCTACTATAATCGCGAAACCCTTATCACTAAAGCAGGAAGTGCCGTGCGTGGGATTTGGCTTCGGCGATTGCGCCTGTACCCCCGGGCTGGCTTTCCATGACTCAAGGTTAGGTTTGGAGTAGGGTCTGCTTACTAGGGCTTAGTAGGGTATAAGGGAATTCTGAAAATCCTGCATGACCTCAATATACTATAGTACTATAATTGCCAAGGGATAAGGTACTTCGGTGCAGGATTTTAAGTATCCACCGTATTATAGGATTATATGGGGATTGTATTCCCTTATTCCCTTATTCCCTACTAACCAGAAGCAAGTCTGGGGCCTGGTCTTTGGGCTTACATCTCGGAGATGAGGTGCCTTCGCGAACAGTAGACACAAGAAGTGGGATCCAGAGAACATACAGTGGGCATAGCAGCCTGCAGGTTCTATGTTATGAACTTGAAGGAGTTCATGATCGTGGCTTATGGGTTCTAAGACTCTACAGCCCCTCTTAAGTAGATAGAATATAGCTTTTGGTATGTTAAAATAAGATCCCCATATGCCCCATATTCTATCTACTTAAGGGGACTTTAGCTTTAGGAGCGTGCCGTCAAGACTTTAGTGGCACGCAGCAGAAGCTGGGTCGAACAAGATGTAGGCTGCAGCTCATATTCTGCCTGGCAACCTGGCGTTTCAGGCTTGAATTCTGATTTCTGGTTGGGATACAATGCGCAACATCCTAGCTATCTGCCCACTTCACGTTTGCGGACGTTATGCCCCCAAGGTGCACCCACTTGCCTTCTCACCATCCGAAGGTCGTGATGGAGCTGCTGAAAGAACGTGGGGCGCGGAGCTTAGCCCGGTGCTAGCTTGAATCCGGAGCAGGGATGCTGGCCATCCCGGTAACTTGCATTTTCCTACATGCAACCGATGTCTCAGGGGTTGAAATGATGTATCGATGTTGAAGTCTGGTTGCTCCCTTGCAATTGTTCAGACTGCTAGGCCCCTTTTTTCTGTTGTGCGTTGGCATTCTTTTGTGTGAAGTTCGCGGAAGGCCTACAATCAAGGGTGTTGCTCGACACCTGTGTTCAGGCAAGGCCAGAACCAAGACCGCACAACATTACGAGAGAGACATACATTATGTCATAGTGGCAATGCTCAGTCACATGCGCCAAACTGTTACGTCTGTGTACCCTCCATTGTCACCGTATCACTGTAAACCCTGAACCGATAAAACCTAAACCCTTAAGGGGAACTATAGGTGCTGCCCGAGCTGCCGCCTTCCGTGGACATGGTAGTGGCGGCCTACAACGCGGACATGATGGGCAAGGCCTGTTTCAGGGTTTGTTTATAGGGCGCATGAGTTTGTAGAGTTGCAGCATTGCAGAAGAGTCTGACAGGGCACTTTGGAACCGGTAGAAATGTTCAAAGGAGGCTGCAGTCACCAGGTCATGGCATCCTGTCTGGGCGCCGTGCATCATAGCAAGCAACGAGCACAAAACAGATGGGCTCTGCAAGGCATGAGAACACATCTCTCTTGCAGTTGCAAGAGTCAAGTTGGGATGGAGGGATAAGGGGTGCTCGAAATGAAGTGTTGAGGAGGAAGAGACAACAACAGGGCTTTGTCATCAACAAGAACATCATGAGTAGATGTCTCTAAGCTCGGACAAAGGAAGGACGGCTTAATGTCATCCTTACGTAGGTACTTGTCATACATGTCCTTGAATGCCTTCTCTATATGAGCTGTGTTATATCTGCTTACACAGGGTAACATGTCAGCTGATCTTGCAGCCGCACCGGGGGCCATTGCAGATTGGAGCGGGAAGCTCAGGCAGGAGCATCCTGGCCTGAATACCCCAATCCACGGTGTTTTTTCCGTGAAGCGTCAAAGACAGGGAGCAAGATTTTTGAGGACTTCCGCTCCATTGTTGCTGCCTTCCTGTTGTGTTGTGGCTGAATGCCAGGCGATGAACGTTGCCCGAAGGCCGCTCACCTGAAAGAAGGGGTTGGGCAGGTGTGTGCTTGGGCTTGCTCCCGAAGACCTTTGCGAATAGTTTGAATAGTTTCTCCAATGTGAATCACGGCCTTTTCTGGTATGTATGCATGGAGCGGTTTCGTATGCGGGCGAAACTCAAACCTTTCAACCCCAAATCTTGAAAGGTGTGCCCCACACACCCCCGAAAACCCAAAATCCCTGCATGTGCACAAACTCTCTAAAGCTAACTTAATGCTCAGAATTTGTTGGGAGCCAAGGCTGCGTCAGACAGGGAAGTCCGTGGACGTTTACCCTGAGGCTCGCAGATTCACCTGTTTTGTGAGGGTTTCAGGCTTTGCGGATTTTGGGTTTAGGGGGATAAGGGTTTAGGGCACCCTTAGCCATAAACCGTTTAGGGGTAAGGATTTTTGGGGATTAGATTCTAGGGTTGAGGGGCTCCGAGCTGCAGGGTGTAGGGATTGGAGCTTGTGAGCTGGGGGAATTTTTGAGTGTGGGGCTGCATGGCTCTGATGGAACAAACCCTAACCCCTAACAGTCCGCAGGGTTTGAAACACTAACTCGCAACTTAATAACACTTTAAGGATCTGGAGTTTGTGGTGTGTGTTGCGCTTAGTGTTTTCGAAGTTTAGGAGTGAGTCAGGATTCACGGAGTCTGGCTTGGAGTTGGAAGCATGTTGTGAATAGTCTTCATGGGAGTTGCAGACAGACAGGGAGGAGGGCTGTTCTAGCGGGAACGCCCATAATGTTATAGGGTAGTTTCCCTTAATAGGGGGGACCCTAATATAGACTCCAAAATACTATAGGCCTTATTATGGGGACCCCCAAAATGGTACCCCTAATTTTGGGAAACCCCCATAGAATGCTTTGCAAGTTCCATGGTGCTCAGAAGCCTCTTATCGAATGCCTCCTTAGTCCTTTCAAAAATGCATCGGCGGCTGACAGGAGCTATAATTCCTTTCCCCCTAATATCCAAACGCGTTCCCCGCCGATACTAAAACATCACCAGGCTTGAACATGTCTGCGTCATGATCAGGACATTCATTCAACGAATTGATAGGGCAATTGCAGAACGATGCCCTTTGTGATTTGTTAATCTAGTTCATAAAGATATCAGTTCCCTGATTCACGAGTAGTCCTACTTAATCGCTTGATCTGGTTGCCTGGTATTTTCTGAATGTCTGTAGTTGCCGCGTCACTGAAACTACGTACAGTACCACGAGCATTGCAACATGATATACGTGCTGTTCATACTGCATCCTCCTTTACTTGTGACCGCTTTGCTGTTTGAGGCGAAGGGTTAGGGGCCGCACTAGTTGAGAATCAAACGGAAGCAAACATGGACAGTGAAATGGACATTACTGTACAGCTTAAGTTTTCAGAGCCATTGTCAATATTGGGGTTGCTAAGAGACCATTATGGGTGGACATACGGGTTCTTTGGCCTTTGGGTAGTTTAGTATAGAGTCCCTGTATGGGATATATGGACTCTAGTTCATATCCACTGCAAGATTTCCGTCCAAAAACCCTAATCCCTAAACCGCGCTGCCAGCAGGTAGCTCGCAAAGTGAAGAAGGCTTTCCGCTACGCTGACAAGGCCCGGACTGGCAAAGGGAGCGCAGACGTTTATAATATGAATATGCATTATAAATATACAAATGTAATTATGATATAACGATAATATTGTTATAAGTTATAACATATGGGTACTGTAACCACAACAAACGTGTACATTGGTTTTTTGGTGCGCTAAACCTTAAGCTTGTTTTCTGTAACGCGTTGTTCCATTGAGGCGCGCAATTACCAGATGAGAGTGCAAGAGTTGCATCTTGCGACACAAAAGAGAACGAGGGCTGTCGATTTGGTAATAACGATGGTGATAACACATGCTAGCATTCTTCATAGTACGAGTACTATTAGCCAAAGGGCTAGCAGTAGAAGCCCGTGCTGTACTTCGTCCTGCCACTTGAGCAATGACATCAGTGCTGTCCATGGCGGCCATAATCACTGCCGCATGCCTCTAGGAGTGGTACTTGTAGTGATACTGTAGTGTAGTAGGAGCTGGTGCCAGCTGCCTATGACGTTCAGTTCCCCAGCAGCTTCATTCATCAGACAGGTGGGGGCAGCAAAGATCGCTTTCGTTGCTCCGGATGAGTGGGAAAAGGGAGAGGTGCGCGTGAAGGCCAGCCAGCCGGGCTGGGTACAGTGTATTGTAGGGGTGCACTGGGGGGGTACTCGTAGTTTCCATCTTGCCCAACCTGATCCCAACTCAAGCCATATGCTGAGGCCATGGCCTAATATGGGACTGTAGCTTTCAATGCATGGGGGATGTCTGCATAGGACCCGCTTTCTACAGCTGTTGTCAATCAGGCCTGGGTGGGCTTACAATGGGAGACCAAAAGCAATTCCTTCTGAACACCATGGAGGCTTTTGAGAAACTTGGGCCATATATGGGGATCACATGGGACATGACTATGAGCATTATAGGAAGTATAGGGATCCTCTAGGCTGGTGCTGAGAAGCTCCAACTTGAACCCCAGGTATTGAAATGCTATCGTGATTTTGGTATGTCTCCTGCCTGACGGTTGCAAGGTTGGAATCACAGCAACTTCCAAACAGAGTTGAATAATATGGGGCCTAAATAATTAGCAATATTATGGTTCCATATTCCTTGTATAAGTATAGTATATGGTACCTCAAATGGACTTCAACTTATGTTGGTATAAATATTGAGGTTCCTGTAGTACAGGAATTTCCTGAAGAGCTTGTCACGTGGGCATTTCTCAAGAGTTCTGCGATATGGAATGACTACGAGATGTGTAGTTTTCCAAAAAAGCCGGGGAAGTTCTTGTCCGCTGGATGGGATACGGCTACTTCGAAGGCAAGTTGACTTTCTCTAGTTCAGAGCATGTGAAACCAATTGCTATTTGTCGTAGCCTACGAAAACGGGTACCATAACTTAAGGGCCCGAGGCCCAGAAGCACCCTACGGGCAACAGAAATCGCGAATGACCCCTCATTCCAACTCCTGCATTTTCGGCAGCAAGCGAAGCCCCTCATTCTCAGGATCCTTCAAAGGACCCATACTTTTGAGAAAGCCCATGTTTGTCAGGACCTGCGCTGTCCTGTCGACACCCCGCCCGAAAAGCACCATGGCGATCATGGTTTTGGCTCCTTTGGTTGTGTTGCTGTTGTTCTTTTACACGCAGGGGTGATGGTCAATGTCATCGGCTTCTTCATTTCCAGGAGTACGCTAAATACGGCTTCTTTTGCAGTCTTGGATCCTTCTGGGGCCCTCACCAATGCAGGGCTGCATGGGTTCAAAACACATGCGAGCCTGCAGACGGGTCTACAGCGGAGGCATTTGGGGGATTGTCAAAATTATGGTCCCTTTTTGGGTCCCTATTATGATACGGGGCCTAATTTAGGGGACCCAAAAAGGGACCATAATTTTGACAATCCCCCATTTAATGCAGCTGCAGGCAAGGGACGCAAAGTGAGCACATAAGAATGACAGCAGCAAGAAGATCGGCAGTAATGTTTAGTTATCCATGGTCCTTTTTACGGATTTCCTAAGTGGTATATAGGGGGAACAGAAAGAAAATGGAAGCTACAATGCTAGTAGTCAGGCCTTACTAGTAGCAAAGATGTTGACAACAAATACCACTAGCAGTGGTCTGCACTGACCATACCCCTTCGTACTCGTGCTCATGCTCATCCTGCATTTGCCGCTGTCACATACCACTACTCCCACTTGGGTCGTTGCCGTTTTTGCTCCTGATTTCACCTTCCTCCTGACACACCTGTGAAATACCCCTACTTGAAGTCAAACGACCTGCTTCTGGTATTGTTTTGGGTGCCACAAAAAGAGGGACTTCAGAGGCGCTGGATACTTTGTAATAGGGCTCAGGGTCTAGCCTGGGTCTAGGGTTTCCCTTATCATCCGCAAAAAGTTCCTAGGGCACCCCTCTATCAGAGACCTTCTCAGTACAGTAGGGTCCAGGGTCTCAGGCGCCACTTAGGAGTCAGGGGGGCAATAAGCATACGTAACCCTCTAAGGCATATACTTTTTCCAGTGATCCCCAGAGCAGACCTACTTCCTGGGCCCCTGACACTCCAAGTTGCGCCTGAACCCTCAACATGTCAAATTCCTACAGACCTTTTCATAAAGCCAGTTCCGTTTCAGCTTCAGGTCTCGTTTCCATTTGATTATCGCCCCCCTTAAGTAGATAGAATATGGGGTATATGGGGATCTTACTGTAATTTACCCAAAAAACCATATTCTATCTACTTAAGGGGGACTATATCCGATATCCATTATTGGGATTACCCCTTAAGGAGGCCCAGGCTTCCCTTTTCGTTT